GCTCAGCTCAATTATGATACCTCAAGGCCGTTTCCCTTTTCTTTTTCTCTAAAAAAAAAAAGCAACCAGTACAGCATATGGAAATTTGAGTGTGGTACGGGTGCCGACCTCTCTCAGATTTATGGCTGGACCTACTGCCAGCAGCTGGAACGAAGAGGAGGCTGCTGTTTTCACTCATTTTCCACCCCCCAGCCATCTGATTCATCCAGCTGTGGCCGTAATTGCAGCCCGTTACATCCAGGAAAGTGCTAGTGTTAGTATGCCTTTCACAGACATGGGCTGACACTCTGATTGACACAGTCTCGGATTTGATTCTTCCCCGGCATACACTTGTTTGAAGAAAAAAGGAAAGGAAAAAAAAAGAAAGAAAGGGCAGACTCAGTCTACGACTTTTTCTACTAAGCTCTGGATGTCACTGTAGGCAGGTTCATGAACAGGGCCATAGTTGCGGTCAGATGCATTCAGGAAAGTGCTAGCCACAGTATGCCCTTCACAGAAACGGGCTGACACTACTCTGATATGATTCCTCCCCGCATCGGATGGCGGGGACAAGTGACTCCCTTTTTAAAATAATAAAAAAAAAGAAGAAAAGTGACTTCTGATGTTGCATACTATTCTTTCCAAAAAAAAACAAAGAAAAAGAAAAGAAAAGAATACATGAAAGGGCATCCTCTTGGGGCGTGGTCCCTCTAGCAAAGAGGATCAGATCAAATGCCTGAATCTGGACGAGTTTATGGAGATGTGCAGGAAATCAAGATTGAACTGCTTTTCTGCATCTCTGCTTAAAACACATCCAGATTTGCTCGATCCTATCCTTTTTGCTAGTGGGACCTCGGCCCTGGACATCCATTAAAATTGGAATGATACAGAGAAGACTACACACAAATAAATCGAGAAATGGTCCTTTTTTTGTTGGAAAAAAAAAAAAACATGAAAGGGCAGAGTCGAGCCAGGACTCTGGACGTGATTGCCCCAAGATTCATCCAGACGAGGACGTTACGGCAGTCAGATGCATCACTTGACTGGATTCAGTGGACTGGGACTCGTGCCGTCCTGTTTGCTCCCAACCAGACCAAGTGGAAGTTGCCATTCTGATCTCCTGTTCCCAGCTCAGCTTTCCCTCTCTAGCTCCATTACTCTCTCTCTCTCTCTCTCTCTCTCTCTCTCTCTCTCTCTCTCTCTCTCTCTCTCTCTCTCTCTCTGCCCCCCCTCCCCCCTTTGGCGCACATGCGTGCGGGCATGTGCGCACTCACAAATGTCTGTATGTGTGCGAGAGAGAAAGCAGGGGAGGGGGGAGGGGGAGGGGAGGCAGGGGCATGCAAGTCAATGCACGAAAACCATCCCTCGCCTTCTTCCCCTCTCTCACACATACACACACAAAAATGCACCCGCCCACACAAATGTGTGTATGTGTGTGTCTGTGTGTGTGTGTGTGTGTGTGTGTGAGAGAGAGAGAGAGAGAGAGAGAGAATAAGTGAA